TAAGAAACATGAAATTCTTAGAAAACCAGTGTTTTTTTAAATGCGACTTGAAAGTCAGATTTGGCAGTAAAGGGTTAAGGGTGGGATGAAGAAAAACAAAGGGAAAGAAAAATTCAAGAGGAAATTTATTTGATTTTTATTGATACCGTAGATCCCATTTATTTCACAGCATACTTTACATCTAGGGTACTACTGCTTTAGGTTATATGCATCACACTCCATCATCAGATGCTCCACAGTTTCCCTCTCACCTCTGTTACACATAATTTTAATAGCACGCACTCGGAAGATGCTCGCCCTATCATGATTCATGCTAGATTCCTGTCCCCTACAGCATTGCTGCCAACTTGCGTCATGTTACAGCCAGCCCACACCATGTAGGCTACCAGAGCTCCCTGAATCAATCAGAGTGCAGCACAAAGCCATTTCATGACCGAACAAGTGTGACGTCACAACCACTCGGCAACACCAGCAGACCAATCAGTACACATATTTGTTTGTGTGAATTTAAAAAAAAATAAAAGAAAATGTGAAATTCTTAGAAAAAGGTGTTTTTAAAGGCAACTTGAAAGTACAATTTGGGGGTAAAGGGTTAATGCTGATACCATAAAATGGGGCAACTTAGACCATTTTAACTCTCAGAAAACCCAATAACTCAAAAAATTCTTGCCATAGAAAAATTGTGTTTATGGCTCTTAAAGTATACCATGACATAACCTACATTTACAATAAAGATATATTTTACATACATACTATGTGACTATTTGTATTACAAAAAAATGCCAGTGCTAAAAATGAACCACGTCCGAGTCAGCCCATTTTACTGTATCCTAATGGATACAGTAAAATGGGCTGACTCAATCTGAAAAATTGGGCACTAGCTACAGTGAATGACAAAATTGCCTGTGCTTCTGATTAATTTTACCTTTTTATGACCCTGGTCTAATTGCCTCATAAAATTGCCCCTGGCTCATAACAATTAAATAAAACTGCCCCAGGCTCATTGCCTCAAAAATTGACCCTGGCTTGTAAAAATGTAAATATTACACATTTTTGCCTGCAATTTTCAAAAATTACTACCCAAAACATGAGTTTTCATCTGTAATTTTAGGAAAATTCTGCCTAATATTCCAGGTTGGCATTATACTTCATGGGATTTTTATATACTTTATATACATATGGGCTATTTATTATACTACTTAATCCCAAAGGTCTACAACAAAGTCTCTTGTTTGCAAACATGGAAGCAAATTACTTGTATTGAGTCAATCATTCTTTTTTCCAGTAAACTAAAACATTTAATTTTTAACTATCAACTTTGAATCAGTAACTTCTCAACTACGGTATTAACTTTTCAATTTTACATCTACATAAAGTATTGAACATTCAACTATCATAGTGTAAACTTTAAAAAATCCATATTTCACATGTTGATTTTTCACCCATGAACATTTTAACAATCAAATTTTGAACTTTTAACTTTGAAACTGTCAAAATTACAGTAATACAGTAGTTACTGTTTAGATGTTGACTAACACTCAATTCACCCTTGTGATTATTGCTATTAGTGATTGGTTTTGGAGTGTCACAAGACGCCTGCTGCAACCCTTAAACTTGTCAGAATGATCAGAGCTCTTACGGCCAAACGCCGGCAACTATCTTGTAAAAAGTTCAAGGACTCTGCTACTACTTGAATTGCACTAGGATTCCATTCATTAAAACTTTGGTTAACACGGTAAAACTTAGTTTTATTTCAGCAAAGCACAGTTTAAAAAAACAGGCACAGTTAAAAGTTAAACTAGAGTGACATCAGGTACATTATTGCGGAGCAGTGTGCTTAATCTTTCACGGCACAGCCCCGACTCAGCGTTAGAGCATGGAATAGCCGAGAGTTGACAGAGCGGAGTGAGAACAGGTATGAACCTCACTGTAGGGCTGGTGAGTGGTGGGACATGACTGACTACCTGACTCACAGCTGCTCAGACCTGACCTTGCACTACGTTGCTACTGCCCAAAAAAGGTCCGACATCAATGTTACCAAGGCAGCTACGCTAGATGTGCCTTTTGGTATGCCCACGAATTTAAAAAATGAACAAGACTAATAATGAACGAAGTTCATCGTTCACATCAGGCTTCAAGTGCATATGCAATGACTGCCGCAGCATGGAATTCTGGATAGGTAATATATTCTCACATTTAGGTATATAACAAAATTGATCAGAAGTCCTACCACATTACACCTCCCATTGCTGTGCCAAGCCACCAATGTCTGCACTGCAAAAAGTTTTTGACAAAGGTTTCACAATTTATAAGAACAGCATGTAAGCAAGTAAAAATGGCATGTGGTTCTGCAATTTAATTTTAATACATAAAGTTTGTCAAGGTTAATTGACCAATCAATGGTAAAAGGATATGACAAATTTGTGGGTACTTAACGATCGGTTTGGTTTGATGGCTTTGTGGGAATACTGTAGGATTGGTAGGAATGAAGGTAGAATTTCAATCCATGTAATCCAAATTAAATGACAATAAATGGATTTGGTATGTAATTTATGGATCCCAATTATATTGTTCATAGGAATGAAAATGTGCCTATTCTTCCAAAAACATTCCATAAATATGCTTGTGATGTCAAATATATAATTATGTAGTCAATGGAGTGAGTCTTCAAAGTGACAAAATAGTTCAATTTAAAATCTTTAGATGTAAGACTGGAATCATTGTCCATTGAAAGAGTGATAAGAAATTTTTTTTTTCATTATTTCAAAGTCAAAAAATCTTTAAAACCTTCATCAGAAATTGTGCAAACTGCAAATATTAATTAACTTAAACTGAATGTATCATTAATATTATATAAACAATAATTTCAGTTCAATTATAACTGCAAACAAAGAGATTACCAATGCCAGATGAGGCTTCCTGAATTGGCTCCTCTCACATAATTATTAATCATTTCAAAAATTATTTCAATTATTATCATTTCATATTGCATTCACAGGTAATGTTTTCAGTATAAAACACCTGGCAACAGGCAACAGCTACAGAATATAGATTTGCAATGCAGCATTGGCAACCAGAATCTGCCAATTCCAGTACCATAGGGTAAAAGTATATTACTTAGTTGTGATCAGCACATGCATGCAGCATGATGCATTCATTGTATTCTTATGTACATCATTCTGCTTCCTCAAAGGGAAAGGCTTAAACAGCCTCATCACTCAGTTTTCAGACAAATTGTCAATGAATTAATATTTATTATTTTGTATAATTGAACTTCAAGTGTTTTAACCTTGACTCTTCTAATTCCTGTTCCTCTTTCTTCCCCAGGGTGCAGAAATTGGTGAATATTGAAATATATTTGCCAACGCATCTGCAGCAAAATTCATGACAAATCCTGCCTAGGTGGATCAAAAATAATATATTAACCATAACCAGCATGGCACTGATGGCAGCATTTATAGAATTCCATTCTGCTGCCTGTGCCTGGTGCAAGATATTTACCTTTCATTCTTTCCAGCCATAACTACAATAGAGATTTTTTACCATTTTTGGAGCCCTGAGATTACTGCAAGATAAATTATCTTCTATCTAATTATAAACAAAACTACAAAAGTTTACAATCTCCCAACCAAATTTCAAATATAGGCAAGGCACTGAAGGCAGGATGCATTAGAGTGATTAGACTGATTAGACTCATTAGAGCTGCAAGATTTCAGTTATAAGTAAGAAAATTTCATACCAGGGCACTGAGGGCAGGGCACTGCCAACTTGCCAAGTGGCAAGTGGCAACTGGCAACTTGGCAAGTGCCAAGCCTGATCTCTGACTTCACTGTTGAATAGACCATTGTCCGATTGTCGTATTGAATAATGACAATGTCGTTGAAAGTTTAATCAGTCGATGACTTGTTGTTGTCAATGCCCGTGAGTGAATGGGGCTGATTGGAGGCTTGGAACATATGTAACAGTAAATGTTAAGTTGAAAGTTTAGAATCACGTATCCCAACTCAGTCTAGCCAAGTTTTCACTTTGAAGCAGGCGCTTCCCGTTCCCGACATAGTTGAACTATATACTAGTTCAACAATGCTTCCCGAGTTGCAACAGCAAGTCAGCAATTGATAGTTTCAGTGTGGAGTGTGGTGACAAGAAAAAGAGCTAAGAACAACAATGCGCAAGGCTTTCCGGCAGTAGTTGGCACCGATTTACGTTTTTCCGCTTCAACGAAAAACAGCAAAAAAATCGACAGTTTTATGGATATCTTCTCTTAGTTTGTAAATGACCTACAAGGAATATATATTTAGAAATATATGAGTTTATGATCTTCTATAAAATATTCATGGAATGTCAAAAATATGCGTACATATTATTATTCGTAAAAATCTACATTCCAGTAAATCAACCACTCTGTCACATAGCATGTTTAAAAATCATACTCCCGACAGCTATAACATTGGGAACTGGCAAAATATGATTACATTATCATTAACTGAAAAAAATTGAACCACAAGCCCACGCACCGACTAGCAAAGCGTTTTCATCGATAGAATAGGTTCTACACACTCAATCAGTGCGTTTTTCGAAACGAATTTCCGTCCTCGGCGCAATTAAAATTGTCACTAAGCATACCTATTTGAATTTCGCGTAAAACTCCGGTCAGTACAGTAGCTTACACGGAAAATGCGATGCAGCAAATTGGCAAAGAGGAAGATCGTTTTCCAGCCTAAAATTGCCCCTCGATAGGCATAAGCATGAACGAGTAACCTGAAAATAATTGAAGTAAATAAAGCAATTTTTTCAAATTGTTCAATTATCGAAGCTGCTTCTTCAAATCGGCCAAGTAAATGGGATTTTCTGAAAACAACAATTCGACAACTTATAAATTTCACAATTCCTTTATGCAAGAAATTTTAGTTGAAAAGGTTGTTTACATCTATCGTACGCATAAGATTAATTTTAATCTCAAAGAAGTCCTATGTTGAACATGGGATGAGAAATGAGACGCATCAAGTAATGAATTTCATTTAAAACCATCCGCATAATATAAACGATGCAAATAATAAACAATACTTTGGCAGAGGTAAAATGATCACAAAATTATAAGGTCAATAACGATGCTATCAGAATCACGAAATAAATGATGTTATCAATCAATAGACATATGCCAGGAATGATAGTCAAGGCACTCGCCGCAAGTAATCATATTCAGACCCATACCTCAATCAACCACAGTCCACGTTATCAATTAAACAGCCAATCGCAGGCGTGCTACAAACACACATGCACTTCTAGATATTTGAGCTTAGGCCGTTGTCATCAACAAACTGTTAACTCGTCATTTATGAAGCCTACCTTTACATTAACTTAAACAAAATAATGCAATTTTGAGAATGCTGTTTTTACTGGAGCACATACACATGGTTTCAATTCATAAGTTACGTTCTAAGTCGTTTTTCTTTCAATCGAAAATTTTAATTCAAGTTACTTGTAACTAAGGTGATTTGATGAAGTTAAAATGATGGCAAAAAGGTGTGTAATAACTGGATGTGATCATTAATGTGCATTGTCAATTCAAGTTCTGCATAAAGTACCACGAACGTTTTTGATTTGTTTAAGAAGATCTGACGACCAAATGAGCATCAAGTTCGAGTTGTATCTGCAGACAACTTTGTGGCTATCGTTGTGAATGAGAGAGAAAGTGTCGAGCAGTTCCATCACACCACGTTTGTGAGCACCACGGCTCCAACCGACGTCTTTTAGTGCATCCAGAACGCGACGCGCAGAATCAAGATTCAAGTTCTCAAGCTTTAACACTGGAGGAAGAGATTGCCCTGAGTTGAGGAAGTGATAAAGCGTCTGATGTAGATCAACATTTTTGAAGCAACTAGAAAGCACAACGAAGAGACCGTTCTGCAGCCTAGTCAGGAGAGGCATGTTCGTGAGGTGCACCGTGGCCCCTGCTGGCAGTGAATGGCTTTCAAGCAGCTCGTGTAGACGATCAAGAACATCACACGATGGGGCAGGGCCAGCACTGCCATCCGGATACTCGTCTATTAAGAAGGTACAATCTGGATAGTCCTTCATCACAGACTCAACAAGTTTTTTTGTATCGTCGTTGAAATCCGATAGTGCGGACTCGTGATCTGTTTTGTTGTTACCTTGAAGATACAAAACTTTCTGTGACTTGTTCTCCATTTTATTTTGAAGCAACTCTCCGCTGACGAGTTCGCATTTGAGACTAGAAAGAACGGAGTACAAATTAAGCGACCTTTCACAGCAGAATCGAGAATTACCAACTTGCTGAAAAGGTAACCCTTTGACCAGTCGCAAATTTTCTAATATGGAATCTTCAGTCTTGTAGTAAAGATCTCGGTGTTCTCGAGAGGCATAAGCCTCAACAAAATCCAGCAGCAATTCAGAAATGCGATCAAGTTTTTTATCCACTGACAATCTTTGGATGCAGCCTGACCACCTCTTGTGTTTTCCGAAATCAGGATGAACATTTCCATCCCATCTCACATCCACCTGCAAGATGCGACGGTTTGTAGGTATGGGGCCAATAGGGTTTCGTACCTGAAACTTTCTCCACACCAACTCCTGAACAATCTGACACGCAGACTCTGCCTCTTCACTAGTGTCTAAGTACAGACGAGCGTTTCTTTCAATGGCATTTTCTTGATGTTCCTTGAAGAAGCGAGCACACTCTACCACAACCTTCACGAATTCTGAAGGAATATCCTCGAGAGCAAACATCGACATAGAAGGAGCCTGAGGAAGATAATGCTTGAGGAGTTCATCCAGGGTGACTGAAATTTCTTCTCGACCGACATAGTTTAAACCTACAACATAAACTTCAGAGTTTCCAAGCTTGCTAGTAATAGGTTTAAAAACCTGGACTTCGGAGAAGGCACAACAAATCAAATACAGAAGGCACACTGAGCTCGACTCGAAGAATGTGAACATTTTCACGACCAAGTTGCCGCCAGGGCTGAGGAGATGGAGAGCAGCGAGCACCTCGCACTGATGCAGATGATTCGTCGTAACTTCCTGCTCCCCTGGGTTGTCCTGGCAGTCTATGCTACCGTCTGCCGTCACCAACGACACGGGCTCCTTCAATTTACTGCAGCGATCGGTGAGATCTTCTAGACATGATCTGCTCAAACATGATATTAAGATATCTCAGAATGTATTATAATTACAAATCTAGCAAATATAAGCATTCAAAGTGCAACTGAACATAAACAGGACAATTAAAACGAATCTTAGTCAGCACGTCAGCTCGAAGGCAGCGACAAAATCATCAATTCTTCAAGCTTGGTGCAGATATCCCATCCTCAAAAATCCGGTCGGCAGAACATCAAGATGGATGAGAATATAACTGAATTAAATAAAAACGATTCCAACAAAAATGTACTACAAATATGAAACAGATAATTTTTCACACATCAGAAGTAGATTTTGCTTTATAAGTTGTGTATGGACAGACCTTAGTGTGATGTTACCGGTGCCGTCCCTGCCGAAGACCCAGTGCATGAGGGTGTGTAGGATGATCCTGTCGTCTGATATGCACTCGCTCGCCTTGCTGCCCTCGTAGTGAGGGTGCAGCGTGTTGCCCAGCCACTCCCACTGTCGAGACCAACCATACATTCCCATACTATCTTTAATTTCTATCTTTATTTACGATCTTCCCTTACTACATTTCCTGCCAAATTATTTAAACTATTTTTTCTTACTGTCTGTCTTACAGTATTTCAGTACAATATTCTATTCCTATCCTTCATAATTATCTTCACTTGGTCAATTTAAGTAAGACATCGTCAAGAAGCAGTTGCAGGCGTTGTATCGAGAGCATTGTACGGTATGATTCATCAAACTACGCGCATCATGCATGAGAGTGCAAGCGAGTTGTTGTTGAATCCCAGTGGTCATGAAATGACCTTGGACATGACAAAACAAGTCATATATAGGTTGCTTGGCTCTCGAGTGCATAGGAGGCATCTGGGGACGTGATATCATGGTAGTCATAAAATCGTGGAAGTCGTTCAACTGCAGGAATTTGTAAAGTCGTGGGGCTTGTGGAACCGTAGGGTTCGTAGTATTGTAGGGTTCATGGAGTTGTAGAGGTCGTGGAGTTGAAGAAATTGTGAAGTTTAAGAGGTCGTGGAGTTGAAGAAATTGTGAAGTTGTAGAGGTCGTGGAGTTGTAGGGGTCGTGGAGTTGTATAGGTCGTGGAGTTGTAGGGGTCGTGGAGTTGAAGAAATTGTGAAGTTGTAGAGGTCGTGGAGTTGTAGAGGTCGTGGAGTTGAAGAAATTGTGAAGTTGTAGAGGTCGTGGAGTTGTAGGGGTCGTGGAGTTGAAGAAATTGTTAAGTTGTAGAGGTCGTGGAGTTGTAGAGGTCGTGGAGTTGTAGAGGTTGTGAAGTTGTAGAGGTCGTGAAGTTGTAGAGGTTGTCGTGAAATTGTAGGTGTCGTGAAATTGTAGGGGTCGTGAAATTGTAGGGATCGTGAAATTGTAGGTGTCGTGGAATTGTAGGTGTCGTGGAATTGTAGGTGTCGTGGAATTGTAGGTGTCGTGAAATTGTAGGTGTCGTGAAATTGCAGGATTCGTGAAATTGTAGGTGTCATGAAATTGCAAGGGTCGTAAAATTTTAGGGGTCGTGAAATTGTATGGGGTCATAAAATCGTAGGGGTTGTAAAATCTTAGGGGTCGTGAATGTGTAAAGCTTGTGATATTGTGATGATAAGGACAGAAAGTAGAGGTCACGCCATCTAAGAGTCATTATTAATTTCATGCTAAATAACTGCTAGGTCACAAGGGCACAGGGAAATTCTAATAATAATAATAATAGTAGTATTAGGTCCAAGAAAATCTTAATATCATAAGGCAAGAGACAAGAAATAAAATTCCTGCTAAATCTCATGCATAACTATAAATAGGGTGCATAAAGAAATTTCAACAGCCATTAATCTTGATCCCCAATAAAAATCAATATTTAAATGGTGAAAAAATATTGAGGAGATACATCACAGCAGTTTGGTATCATTAAATAAAAATAGACCAAACACATTTTTTTCATTTTTCCATGCAAGTGTGAAATGTCAGGCAGGATATTGCCTCTGATTCTATGATTTGAGTGTTAACAGAATGAAATAGTTTATTCTGATTACCACTGTATCTGCAAGTTCAAAGAGGATAAACATGGTACATATAGTCACTTACCTGAATATCAGGATGGTGGTATTGGATGTAGTGGTTGAGAGCAATGATGAAGGCTCCTGGTGCTTCACATAAATGCAATGAGCTTAGGCTGTCTGTGCCTGGCAGCACTAAAGGAAACTGGCACAAAACCTCATAGAACTTCAGGAATGCCTGGAAAAAAGTATGAAATTTGAGAATTAGTGCACACACAAATTCTGACATATATATATATATGAACATTTTCAAAGGTTTGAAAGAAGATTTACCATGTGATCCTTTGGTCAAGTAACACCAATATTGATTCATTAGGAAAAAGAATTAATAATAAATAAAAATATTTATGGGAGATTTTGTAGGTGTTGAAGTCAATATTGATCTCAAAAACAAAGCCAAAAACTATCATTTAGAAATAAAATTTAACAAGCCACCAAAGTGCAGATAAATTTCTGATGGAAGGTTAGCAGCTGCAATAAACTTACTTGAGATATGAATTCAGGGTTGGCTTTCTCCTTGACACGCTTGAAAACTGCCATAGCAGGGTTGACTCTGAAGGTATGGTCTGTCCATGATGACAAATCTTCTCCTCGCTCAGTGTCACCTTTGACTTTATTCAATTCAACCTTCAGTTGTTGAAGTTTTTCTACTTGCCATGGAGGATGAGAAAAGACTCTCTGTGATGGAGGTAACTGGAAGAGAGTTCTTGCAACATTGCAATGGGAGTCAGCAGGTTTCAATGAGAAAAGCTTGCTGCAATGCTTTTCTGAAAACAGATTTACTTCCAACATTGCTTCAGAACTTAGATGAGCCCTGTAAAAATTAAAACCACAGTGAAGTACCTACTGAATAAATTGCAATATCAAAAAGTTATGACTGTATTTGTTAAGAAAATAAATTTGCTTGGATAGAGTTGCAACTGGGATTTTAACCAAAATTTTAAAAAGTACGGTAGTCTACATTAACATAAGAATTTTCTAATGTTACCGTACAGATGATATAATATATTTTTAGGATGGTAAACTACACAAATTGAACAGATTTTAAATATTTTCTGAGCAAAATTTTGCTACGGTTGAATGATGGAAAAAACTTGTAGCAGAGGCAAGAATTGAGCTCACTTTGATTTAATCCATGAGATCCTGGAATCAATATGCAGAGGACTTGAATGGAGACTTAGCTCAGGTGGAAGGCTCAAATTGTGACCTGAAAATGTCAGTAATGACAATTTGACATTTTCATAATTAATAGAATGAATAATATTATAATAAATTTTTTATTTAAGTAGGTATTATCCTTGAATCACAAAGTGATAATTATGCTTCTTCTTTCTTATCTGAGAATTATATGAATAAGAGAACCAATAAAATACATTGCTAAACTTGGTTGTAATTCTAGCCATATAGGAACAGTATGTTAGTTCATAGATACGAGTGATCTGATCTAATTTATTAACTTAATCAGTTCTAGAATATAAGCTAATTACAAAAGAAAATCTAACATCAGCCATCAGGTTTTTAGATCCAAAAAGATAATGATCGTGCACAGTGCACTTGATCATATAACACCTCTCATGAATCCCAACCAGATCTAGTTGTATTCAAGGCCATTTAAGCTCATAAAAAGATCAATACCGTATAGCATAATAACACAATGATCCAGACATCCAGTATGCATGCACTATGAGGTTTTCATTAAATGATTAAAACCATGAGGCTCAAACTTTGAAGCTTGAACAGCCTAGGGTAAACGCGGTATATTCCGACATCGTGGGTAATTCCGTCACCTCTCTAGTTTTTCCTTTATATTAAGCTTTGTTTTAGTTCCATGCGTTCGTTGATGGTTGAAATGGTGACGTCATACATTTGTGCATTGAACTAATGCCAAAACACTAGGTGTTGGCCATCTAGCAGGAAAATATTGAGATCCAAAGAGAGACAATGCACACTACCCAGTGAGATCATCGAAAAAAGTATCAAATTTGACAGTTGACCTTGCCCTACCAAATAGTGAATAACTGTTTTTATAGGAAGAATATTATGGTTTGAGACTTTTAAATACGTCTGTGAATATATTAGGAATCCTTTAAGTATATTGGATTTAGACACATGAAAACTAATTCCGACACAGCTTGAATTGGATACACACAGATCGTTCCAAGCTTTGTATAAAAATTGAAATTTGCTTAATTAAAAGCCTAATACCCGGTAGCTGTTAATTAAAACGTAATTAAGTAGTGTTCAATATTCGTTAGTGTTCTAATTAAAAGCTGTGTTGTATCCCAATACAGCTCACACAGCAAACGGAATTCGAACACGTGGATGTTGGCATTACGTATCAGTTAAATTTGAAGTGCTGACGCAATACAACTCACCACATGCCGAATATTGCCACACACAGTGTCGGAATATAGGGATTTGGTAGGTTTGCATTCTGAAGGCTTTTAAATAAATATGGCAACATTTTGTGACGTTTCATTGTTGCTGGCGCGTAGTACGGTATTTTGCGAGTCAAATAAAGCAAACAGAACTCGAGTAACGCATATGGTAATTTTTTCATAGTTTTTCATTTCTCGATGCGTCCTTAATGTGTCGGAATATACCGCGTTTACCCTATACATATATAATAGTACGTACTAGTATAATTATAGATGTAAAATCTAAATAGAATTTGTTCGAATGAGCCTGATAGCCTGTTAAGTGTGAGTCTGTGAGAGTGAGACTGTAGGTACTAATTAAAAATTAGTTTACTAAAATCTCTAATTGCAAGTTTATAACATTTAACATTACATTCAAGGATTCAACATTGCAACATTATTATGCCAACATATAACATTTATTATGGTATTATTGCAGATTAACTACATCCAAAAAAAAGGGTGTTTTTTTTTTAATTATATGTTTTTTGGGGTGTAGATGGTATTATTGCAGATTAACTACATCCAAAAAAATTGGATTTAGACACATGAAAACTAATTCCGACACAACTTGAATTGGACACACAAAGATTGTTCCAAGCTTTGTACAAAAATTGAAATTTGCTTAATTAAAAGCCTAATAGCTGTTAATTAAAACGTAATTAAGTAGTGTTCAATATTCGTTAGTGTTCTAATTTAAAGCCGTGTTGTATCCCAATACAGCTCACACAGCGAACGGAATTCGAACACGTGGATGTCGGCATTACATATCAGTTAAATTTGAAGCGCTGACGCAATACGACTCACCACGTGTCAAATATTGCCACACACAGTGACGGAATATAGGGATTTGGTAGGTTTCCATTCTCAAGGCTTTTTAATAAATATGGCAACATTTTGTGACGTTTCATTGTTGCTGACGCGTAGTCCGGTGTTTTGTGAGTCACGTGAAGCCAACAGAAGTTACGTAACCCATAGTTTTTTTTTAGTTTTTCATTTCTCGATGCGTCCTTAATGTGTCAGAATATACCGCGTTTACCCTATTTGGAATATTAGGCAGAAGTTTCCTAATATGGCTGGTAAAAACAATTGTATCACCAGCAATTTTGGAAAATTGCAGGTAAAAATAGGCAGTTTTTCTTAGTTTTTGCTGAAGAAATTGAGAAAAAAAATTAACAAGTGAAACTGTGAAAATAGCCAGATTTATGGGCATTTTTGCCAATTCACAGGTGTCTTCTGGCCTATTGGCATTGCCAATTTTCAACTTAGGTTGACCAGTAGGCCCTACTGGTCAACCTAAAAATGTAGAAATGACATCATAGGCTCACAGCTGCTATCTTTATATTAATTTTAAACTTCCAAGCCATTATGATTAAGTATTTTTAAAGATAAATAAAATTTTAGTTGATATGATTTTTAAGATTATTTTTCAATACATGTAATGATGTATGAATTATTTGTCAAGTAAAAGTAGGTAGATACCTATATGACATTTAACAAAAAAAAATTTGATCACTGATACCTGATGTGTTGTTTTTATAATTGTACCTAGCTAGGGTAAACGCGGTATATTCCGACATCGTGGGTAATTCCGTCACCTCTCCAGCTTTTCCTTTATATTAAGCTTTGTTTTAGTTCCATGCGTTTGTTGATGGTTGAAATGGTGACGTCATACATTTGCGCGTCAAAATACTGCCAAAACACTAGGTCTTGGCCATCTAGTGGGAAAATATTGAGATCCAAAGAGAGACAATGCATGCCACCTGGTGAGATTATCGAAAAATGTGTCAAATTTGACAGTTGACCTTGCTCTACCAAATAGTGAATAACTGTTTTTATAGGAAGAATATTATGGTTTGAGACTCCCCCATGTTAGTAAGTCACGAAAAAAATCGGTTTTCCGATGCCGACCGCCAAAAATGGATTTCAGATTCGTAATCTACACCCCAAAAAACATATAATTCAAAAAAAAAACACCCTTTTTTTTGGATGTAGTTAATCTGCAATAATACCTTTATTATTAACATACCATACTCATACTGTATATATTGTTACCTCGGTCATGCTGAGACTTTCTCTGCATATGAAGAAAACTCAATGCCATGTCCTCACTTGTTGAATGATGTCTTTTTCTTCCCAACAAAGACTTGTGTTCTAAACCCACAGCCTCATTTTCCGTATTAAGATTTTCAACCATCGGTGATTTCGGTTCACAATTAGGACGGAGCGACACATTTTGATCATCATAATCAGTTTCAAGTTCAACACTCCCACCATTTTCTTCCATCTTGTCTCATAGTCAGCTCTGTTATAAGGAAAGAGAGAAGGAATCAGTGAGACAACATAGGCGTCACTGTTTCTGTAGGCAGATAAGGCGTAACCTTCGTTCGTTTAACCGTGAACTTCTGTCCGTTCGCGAAGAAAAAATTACATGAAAATTTCTACAAAAAGTGATTTTACTATGCGAAGCATTCTGAAATTAAGTTGAAGTCATCAATTAGAACAAATATTTAAGAAAAGCATACAATTGCTTTGATGACCAAATTGAAATCATTATCGAAAACATTAAGTGGCCGGCTGTTTAAAGCACGGCAACATTCGAGCAGCGAGTTTCATGTTCGCGACACGCAACCAGCTAGTCCTGACAGCTAGCGTTAATGCTGACATCACAAAACACCCTATATTATCTGAATGGTTAAAGAATAATCAGCGCTGAAAACCATAGGCCTGTTGAGGTTCTGCATCTCACTTAGAATGTTTCGTCATAACTCCCATTGACGACGTTTACAGTTTCTAAAAAAATCCAGGAACCACCTAAGAAAGTCCTTCCACAAGATATGCGCTAGGATGTTTCAACAGGCGTTTTAACGGAGAAAAGTAAAACCACGTACACTGTCAGGCTTCCTTCAAACTGTATGGTTCATTCTAGCAGAAGCAGTGCTAGTAGGTCTATACCCATGAACTGTTTTACGATAATAATCAAACTTTGTAATATATAGTTGAATTTGATTTACATTTTATATGCTAGAAAGGAGAATAAAACTTAATGTATTGATACAAAAGTTTTCTGAGCGCAGGACCCAATGTTGCGCAGAAATTATTCTAATGTACTATTATAAAATCTACGATTAAATTGAAGTACCTCGTGCAGTAGGCCACACCACGTGCAGCTGTGTGAACACAATAAAAAAAATCTCCACGCCTTTAACGAATTTGTTGTCACGTGCAGTCACATGATTGACTAACTTCCATTTTCGGTACAAAAAATGGTTGGTCAACTCATCTATAAAATATATCATTAACTTATCACTTCATGGGCGAATATTTGCCAACTGAACGTAACTGAATTTGACAGAGTGCATGTGGTTAAAACCAATTTTATTATGATTTTACGTCATTTGTATTAGTTATCCAGAAACTTAATGCCATGGTCTATGAAGAAACAGAATGCGTTTTCTTGCTAATAAGAACCATTCATTGCCAGGCATACTTGCACTACCTGTTGTCCATCAAACGTTGACACGAATCATTTAATTAAATTTGGAAATCCAAAAACTTGTTCAAGTAGTCCTCCAGTTCGTTTTCTAATACTGTCAATTGGGATTTCATGTGCTCTATATCCTCTGTGTTGTTGCAGCCAGGTTTCCGGAGTAATTTGTTCAGCCTGTAAACTTCTTTCTGCAAATTTTTATACTTCTTGGCGGTAGCAGGGGGCATTTTCTTCAAGCGAACTTCACAGGGATTGGTGTGCTCCGGCTGTTTGATAGAAATGTGTGATGTGGTAAATAATACGATTTCGAGTTCTAGATGCAAAAGCGTCATCCTGGTACACAATGTGCATTACGACCCTAAGTAAATGAACGGTGAACAATTAGCAACTTTAGTACGCAGAATATATTGCAACAAATCAAAACACTCCCAGATACGCTATGGTTTTGGACATTATACAACACAGTATAAATTATTAAAAGGTTTACACAAAAAAGACTTACCATCACCGGCATTTCGATGGTGCCGTATGGGATATAAATAACCGCATTAAAATCCACAATGGCATCTTCAGGCAGAGTATCATTTCCGATCAGTTCATCGCCACCAGCGCATTCTTTGGGTAGATTCTCGTGTGCGATCAGTTCATCGCCACCAACGCATTGCATGCCGGAACTCTCGGCAGATTCACGGTTCGGTGCTTCGTCCGACCAGACAGGGGCACCCGCAACGTTTTGAGGGTAGAATTCCGCAGACGAGGAATTAAGGGTAAACAACCTGGGGCCATGAGACTCCACCAGGCGAACGTTTGACGCTTCATTTTCAACAGGACACATTTGCGAGTTAATAATTACAGGAAAATTCAATTCTTTTGTCGATTCGTAGTAAACTCCTTCAGTCAGATATTCCGGAATGAAAATATCTGTTCGAGTGGTCGTTTCATTCGAACTTTTTTCAGCAGAAGTTTTGCTGACGGTCCCGACCTCAGCCTCGTTTTCAAAAACGTCATCGCTGCACATTGTTTCCATTCCGTCATCTCGACTTTCAACTGAATCACGCTCAGCTGTTCCTTGCACTTTCGCAACTTTTTTAGCCGCTGTCAGATCGATTGTTTCACACAGAGAGATAGATCCTTGAATTGTAACTCCTCTAGCTGATTCCTCATCCAAAGGGTAAATAGGGAGATCAAAAAATAACTTAGTTCCGATCTTCTTCTCTTTCTCGTCGATTTCAATGGAGAAAGGCTCCGTGCATTGTTCCCATTCAGTCTTCCCAAGAGTGGAATCAACAGGTAATGAGGGTTCTTTTTGCGAAGAATTCAGCAAATTCATACGCATAACGTCCAATTCATTCAAGGCCGCAAATTTGCTTGTAAGTACTCGATTGTTTTCGATAAATTCCGAGTTATTTTCATTTCCCTTCTGATTGTCTTGGAGATCAGAGTCTAGCTTTTGCAATTCGCTCACTTGATGTAGATTTCGATGACATTCGTCGGTGCCAGTGAGGTCAAGTTTGTCACTCTGACCTATCATCTCCGAGTTGAGGCGACCTGCCTCCATGTTCTGTACTTTTTTAGAAACATCGTTCCCGCCTTCCTGAGAGTACTCATCTTCGTCCACCTCTTCGGGCACAATATCTGAGGGACATCAAGTGATTGACCAACCAAAACGCGTTTGGTAGTACTCAGTTTAAGCATCAAAACAAGGCGTGGGAAAATTACATGCATTTACAAACGAAAAAATTAGCTAATCAAATTATTTACATATAAATATTAGTGCAATGCAACATTTTGCAATACATATTACTATATTTTTGATAAACATATATCATATTAGCAACACCTTGATTGAAGCCATAAATTTGCACGATGTAATAAAGGGTTCAGTTGAATTAGTAAAGCGACTCGCTTACCCAACGCGCGGCGCGGCTGCTTGGCATCAAATTCTCCGGGGCGCGGCTGATTGTCTGATGATGGAGCGAGAGTAGAACAATCTTTGCCATCTTCAAGCTCTACCTGAGAAATGAAGTCCAATTAACATTATAGAAATGACATATTAATGCTATGGGTAATGATACCACAAAACATAACAGGTAAACTATTGTTCCGGTTTTCGGGTAAATAGTTAATTGTACTTTTAAGGATGCTAAGTTCTTATTTAAAATACTATAATTCATTCTAAATATTGTAAGTAATGCGCAATTGGAGTATTCTTCAGTTCAATAAGATATAGTCTCACCTCGACGTTACAACCGCTCCTCTCCTCAAGACCTCCTACGTCATTGCAAGCCCCTGTTGTAATCCCGACGTCCTCGAAAATTTCTTCGATTTCCTGAGCTGCTCTAGAAGGCTTCTCTAGAATGGTAGTGCCACCTTCAGTTAGTTGTTCTATGGAAAATTCGACGGGATCTTTTTTGGCCAATACCATGCCATCGTTAACGAAATGCTCGTCAAGGGTTTCAGTTTGAACCGATCCTAATTCGATACAGCGATTCTCAAGATGATGCTCATGGCTTTCAGGATACGTTTCTACTTCCGGTTCTGTTTCAAGTACAATGTGATCACTTTTAGGCTCATCATTCGTGAAATTCTCGTCTTCTAATCCAGCAACACTTCCCTCTACGTGGGAAATGATTTTGTCAGATTCTATCACTTGATCACCAAGTAAAGTTTCTTGCGCAGATTCAAAATCATTTTTGCAGTTATGATCGGTCACTGATTCAGAAATCTGAAGATTTGTCTCCGATTCAACGTCACAGACTTTTTTTGCTTCATGCTCCTCGTTGACAACTGTATTAGTTTGATTCCTCTTCATATATTTGGGTTCAAAAATTGAAGTATCGATCATCTGTTTAAGTTTAGGGCGGATTTCAGGTAGGTCGTCAGAGTCGTCGTGCCACATCATCTTCTTGTCTGGAGATTGCACGAAGTTTGCTTTGGGTTCAGCTTTCGCCGCACCTTTTTTGGCTTTCTGTTTTGAAGACTTCGCGTTGTTTTTTAGTTCTTTGCTATTTTTCCCTGCTTGGAATTTATTCTTCTGCTTGCCCTTTGCATCTTCAATAGAAACTGGTGGATAAAAATGATCAGAAGTGGGTTGGTGTTTGTTCTTTGCAAAATTGTTTTTCTTGTTCCCTGTGGATGCAGTGGAGTCAACTGGTGCGTCACTGTTCACTTTGGAGTTCTTGTTGCGTTTTTTCTCTGTTGGATGACAGGAGTCAATTCAAATTGGTTCAAAATTATTTTTAAAACGTCTAATAAATTTGTTTAGAATAAAATTTTAACGCACATACCAAATCAAACTTATTGATGTGGAGTATTCACGAATTTACAAAGCTGTTTCCCCTTGATTATAAATTAAATTATAAGAAAAATAGTTTCGCATGAATTTCGCAGAGTGGCCTAGTGGTTTCAGTTCGGAGTACAAGGATTGGACAAGAAAGTTGAGGGTTCAATCCCAGCTTCCCGAGACTTCCGGGCGGTCTAATCAGGACAAAATTGGATCAGTGCGTTGCGTATCAGAGACGGCAACAATTAAGCCGTGGATATTCCGTCATGTCAAGAATCATCGATAGGTCTAACCATGGTTGAACTTTAGTTCAACCATGAGTCTTAACTGCCTAGTGAAATCTGACATCGCTATGCCATACTAATTACTCAATCACACGATATATATTCGCAAGCAGGCCAATCATATCTCACTCGACTTGGAGAGATTCTCAGCGCTGGCACACACGAGTATGTGCGTCGAATAATTCTCGATGGGCACTTCGTGGTCATGACACTTCACCCTCAGCACGCCCGGGAACGACTGAATACAATGAAGACTCGCTTTAAGTCACAGTTTATTATTCATGTTAGGTTGTAGTGTGGAAATGAAAGCTTCAAAACCCTACATGGAGTATATTATTAATGGTTCCCACTTTGACTCCGAATTTAAGCATTATGTTAAGATACATTACCATATAAAAGCGTTAAACCCTATGCCACGTAACCTAACGGAGTTCAAGCTAGGTTTATTGCCCATCCAATGTTTTTTTTCAGTTACTTTAGAGAAATTTGTGGTCAAGTATGGTTAATATTAAAACTGGAGATATTATTATATGAACTTTGATGTGATGTATCCCTTTATGATGCAAGCTTATTTTGAGCTTTAATTGAATTTTCAATTCAATATTTTTTCCAGCTGCAAAACACAAAATACTGAATAATAGAATAATATGATGCAGATATCTGAAAACGAGGTAGCCTCAGTAACTGCTCACCTGTCTGCAGGTTTCGATGTGCTTGGCCATCTCGAGGGCCTCGACATGATGGGACTTGTCGAAGGGACAGCACGCCAAGGCCATCTTGTCTGGCACCCAGAGACACTCCTCCTGGCACCTAGATACTCGGTTCCGTCAATGCCGTGCGAGCTTGGCTACAAAACCTGCTCTGCGTTCACTTCCAACTCTGGCGATAGAAACTGGTTATTTCAAGCCTTCTGGCTACTCATTGTCCCATGCAGCTGGTCAAACAGCATGGGGGATCGAACAACAAACAGCATGAGGAATAGGAAACAGCAAGGAGAATAGCAACAACCCCAACAAGCATGGGGAATAGCAAGCAGCATAAGGAATAGCGAACAGCATGGGAAGTAGGTACCTAACAGCTATGGCGTTAATGCTAATATTACGGAAATTGGTAGAATCGAAAATCAAAAATATACTAGATAATCATCAATTGCCAACATAATTAATTACCAGTAACGTATTTGTTTGAGCCAGAAACCCACTCGATTGAGCAGTTTCCGAGATTTTGCATTGGCATACTGCATCAAGCGTGGACGATGCCGGCATTGACACTGCCGACGCAAACTACTCTAATTAATATATTGGTTTACGGAACTGTTAACGAGTTTTATCGCCTAAGCTGATTGTCTGTACAAAATACGATCTGAATATGACAATAGTTAGTACACAATACGAACTGTCAGGTACTGTAGTTTTTGCATGACACTATCTGTAGCCTAGTGTAGTTCGTATACATTACGATCAGTTAACATGTAATTTGTTCTTTCATGCCAGGAAAGCGATGCACGAAATTTCTCATTCAGTACGTCATGCAATCGTGTAAGTGGAAGGGAAATATCAGTCACTACTAAAGTCGTTTCCATGCTCGTAACTTGCTTGAAAGTAAGCCCAGTTTCTAAATCGCAATCATATACCTTATCATATCATGGTACTGACGGCGCTGAAGATTAGGCCAGGTGTGGCCTGTGGCCAATTCTTGTACTTTTCGTGACTTGTTCTCAGGAGATCTAAAAAAAAGGTCCTTGGACCGGAACTTTTCAAAACTGACTTCAATTTGAAATACATGTAGCTACTAGACTTCCACCAGGTTGGTATGGTGCTAGGCATTTCAAGTCTGAACATATATTTCTCCATAGCTTTATCGATTTGATTTGCAACGCAGTTTTTTTAGTTTATAGCCGTGGCCCCTGGGGTTGGTTATTGTTTTAAATGCTCGTAATCTCCTTCCGGGGTCTTGTAGAAACCATGACTGCACTTGTATAATTCAATGAGGTCACCACGCAAACGTCGATAACAGAGGCTTGGAAGCTTCATAATCTTCAAAATAAGCTGTACATTTTCGGCTGAACAATCTACTACAGTCCAACTTGTATCAACCATGAGGAATATACTGAAGAAATAATAGTAATAATAGTTTCGAATCTCACACACTAATGATAATTGAAATTTAGTCGTCACTGATCTACAATTTTCGTTAGCGAATACGTACGCTATATCTCATCACAGTAAACGAAGATATTGAAGATCACAGTCGAAAAAAGATCAACAAACCTCGGAGGGATCTGAATAGTTAGTTATCAACCTACAGGAGGCTAATTGACTAGTTCCTATAAAGAAATAAAAAGTGCACAATGCCATAACAAATAAGCGTTTTTAGCACTGTTAAAATTTAGCTTCATATAGGTCAGCGCTTCCTAGCACTGGAGTTGGTCAATTGGAAAAAAATTGAGCAATTCACGTTTTTACATGAACGTGCTAGGACATTCGTCACAAATACCATTTTATTTATTTCAAATTCTGTAACTCTTACTTTTAATCGTCTTCAAAACAGCAGCAGAGTTGTAAACCGCAAAGAAGGGAAAATTTCCAAATGAATCGGTTGGAGATAGGGGATTTAGTTAAAAGTCATCCAGAGCGCTCCTGGAAGATTAGTGCTGTTGAGTAAACCAGTGCGGTGCGTGCTGGTCTCTCACACTTAAATTAATTTAGTACAGAGCCTCAGAACGAAGGGAAAGCTGAAAGGCATTGGCGGTTGAATGCGATGCATTGGCGGAAATGTTTACCCAAAAAAAAAAAGAAACTTCTTAATTTCAGCCGAAATGTTTGGTCAATGCAGAAGTGCTATCCATTATCAACATGACAGCGTAAAAAACGAGGAAAAGTATCCTTAGCTTACAGGAAACCTTTTATTGAGAGCAAGATAACGTAAATCAGAGCAATGTGAAACGTTTTCAGAGCGTTAAAGTGCTTACACATGGGACTAGTATTAGCTGCGAGGTTTTTGCATTTCAAATATGATATTCTTGCGAAAAATATTATTTATTATTATGCCAGATGCAAATACTTTGCAGCTCCGCAAAGTTTTTCACCTCCTCGGCAAGAGTGGCAACTGTGCCACCAACTGCTTGATCAAACGTCTCCTCTAACTCGTCATTACCGTTACGTTCCATTCTCCACCATATTAGTTACCTAGTTAATTAACAGATCTCACTCGACGCCGTCGACGGCTTCCAAATATTATTGACTATTAAACTTATGTGGAACGCTCTCTCGACGTTCGTTTGAACCAGACGCCAAGAGAACGGCTTCGTATAATAATAATAATAACGGCGTACGGGCATCTGCGGACTTTATCAAATACTTTCCTCGTGTGTTATAAGCTTTCAGAATTAGGAGTGTGAAAACTCGCAGCCAATACTAGCCCCGACCCCCGTGTATAAGCGCCTCTATAGGGGGACACAAAATTGATATGAAACTGAAGATGTTAACCAAAATGATATTTAAATCTCGCTGTGTAGTTTTGTATTGAATTAATTATACAGGGCCATATCTCAGCCAACTGCCAGGAGCCGTTAAGCAGGTTACTCTCAGAGGCAAAGCCGAAATAAAATGATTAGGCTACGAGAATGTATGTGCCTTGCAACTGAAAGCTCGGCAGATCAGCTAACTTGTACGTACTTACAAACGAGAAACGTTAGTGTACTACTTACAAACGAAACACGTTAGAGTGCAAATAAGCTAATTAGTGGGTAGACTTCGGTCCTGTATAAATTTTGAGTTAGTTCACAGCAGCACTGGTATTAGAAACGCACAAAAACCGCACAATTAGTCGCGAGCAGTCAGCAGCGTGAACATGAGACAGCAGTTCAGTAATGCGCGGTGACAACTGAGATATCTCAACGGGTCATTGTCTGAATAACACTGCGCCCTCTGGTATGTAGATTTCACGCACATGAAAATTAAAAATGAGTTGAGTAACCAAATTACCGAACGATTAAGCTGTTGACGGTGGATGGGGAAATTTATATGCATATTTGAGAGTTGATGACAAATGAACATCGATATTCCTGATCGCAATTTAGGGGGGGGGGAAGCACTACCAATATTTTCATTCTAATTAAACGCGATTAAAATTTGTCGATAACATTTCTAACCTCTACTATTGTAATTTACGTTTCAAAAGTCTGTGATTCTCAAAGACAAGCAAAATGAACTATACGGAACTTTAAAAATATATTACAGCCGACACCGCTTTCGTCTATAGACTCTATACTAAGTACTACTACACCCACAGTACCATTGACTCCAGATAGTCGGTTATAAGAACCGGTTGCTGGAAATACCGATTGAGTCCCTAAATGCTTAGTCGATTCCGATTACCTCGCAACTCCATGATTATTCCTGGTATCCTGTCACTAATGTTAATCAACTTGACTTATCTTGCATTCGCATTATAATTATTATTAAACTCGTATTTACCCATGAGTCGTATTTTCTTTGCTGTAATAAAACAAACAAATAATAATCAATATTTTTATTGAATTTATTAATATAAGTGAACATTTGATACGTTATAAAGTTCTCCTGCCTCACTGGAGGTTAATAATTATAGCTTCTCCTGACTGAGGCCAAGATGATCATTTACACACTTCAATAAATAGAAATGCACGTATTTCTACTGGGAGCCTTTTTTTCTAGCAACCAATGCAACCCACAAGGCAATCCAAGTTAGCGAAAATTTCGTAAAGAATGAAATGCGAATTTTTCTCGAGCGTTATTTATAACAACTGAAGACTATCTTGAGTTGAAGTACCGTCTATTTATGCACTTGTAACGAAAATATTGATTTAATGGAAAAGACCTACATAATAAACAATATGATAGTTTAACGACATGACGCCCCAGGCCGACTTTTTTCGAGAATGTAAGCTTCGCCGCTATCATTTTTCCGCGATAAAATAAGCTTGAAAGCGACCTAGTATTTTGAACTACAATTAAATTGAGACTGAATACTTCCCTAACGATCGCTGATTCGTTACTTTCTAGCATAATTCGTTACTTTCCTAACGAATTATGAAAACGACTGGTTCAACAAGAAACGTCCTGCCAGGAGACAAACATCCTGTAGAGTACAAAAAAGATTTGCCTATAAATTAACGCCGTGTGCGGCATCAAACGCCGTGCGTGGCAACAAGCACCGTGCGTGGCATCAAACGCCGTGCGTGGCAACAAGCACCGTGCGTGGCAACAAGCACCGTACGTGGCAACAAGCATCGTGGCAACAAGCACCGTGCGTGGCAACAAGCACCGTGCGTGGCAACAAGCACCGTGCGTGGCAACAAGCACTATGCGTGGCAACAAGCACCGTACGTGGCAACAACCACCGTGCGTGGCAACAAGCACCGTGCGTGGCAACAAACGCCGTGCGTGGCAACAAACGCCGTGCGTGGCAACAAACACCGTGCGTGGCAACAAACACCGTACGTGGCAACAAGCACCGTACGGGGCAACAAGCACCGTACGTGGCAACAAGCACCGTACGGGGCAACAAGCACCGTACGTGGCAACAAGCACCGTACGTGGCAACAAGCACCGTACGTGGCAACAAGCACCGTGCGTGGCAACAAGTGCCGCGTAAGGCAACAAACGCCGTAGCAACAACAAGCGCAGTGCGTGGCAACAAACGCCGTAGCGACAACAAGCGCAGTGAGTGGCAACAAACGCCGTAGCAACAACAAGCGCAGTGCCTGGCAACAAACGCCGTAGCAACAACAAGCGCAGTGCCTGGCAATAAACGCCGTAGCAACAACAAGCGCAGTGCCTGGCAACAAACGCCGTAGCAACAACAAGCGCAGTGCCTGGCAACAAACGCCGTAGCAACAACAAGCGCAGTGCCTGGCAACAAACGCCGTGCGTGGCAACAAGCACCGTGCGTGGCAACAAGCGCCGTGCGTGGCAACAAGCACAGTGCGTGGCAACAAGTGCTGTATAGCAACAACAAGCGTGATGCATGTCAGGTCCGACAAGGCACGCCTTGTTACTGAACACCGCGGGGCTAAGATGAGCCTCGCCTGAAGATGGCGCGCAGAACATGATGTACACAAGAGGCAGTGGTAGCGAGTCAAGCGAGAAAAGGAATCTTAATTACCAGAACGAGTATATATATTATTGCATGCATACAACATTAAAATAAATATAAGAGATAGGAACATACAATAATTCATTCCGAGTCGTCACAGAGATTAGATTATCGAGTAGCTTTTTACGTGACGCTGAAACTATGACGAATCAGGATACCAACTCTTCAGCCACGGCGTCACTTTATGACCTCCATCTTCACAGCTCTTTCGTTAGATAAATATGCTACGATGTAAAATTAGTATAATCTTGAACGCAGGTAAATTATTCTATGATGCGTGTAATTAAATTACTTCGAACGCGCTCAACGTGGCTCGGTCATCAGATTATAGTGATCGCGTTTGATCAGTGATCACGTTGGAACAAAATTATCTGGTTACATCAACATGTTTGAAATTGATTATAAAGATCTCACTATATTACAAACAGCACATTAGAATCCTATGATCCCATTATATAACACTCGATCATTACGAACAAAATAAATTTTACTGATCACATTGAATTACACTGATCATATCAGGTTGCATTAATAGTACACTAATTTTCAACAAGATAGAATGCCTATTATCATGTTTTATTCCAACCAATACATTGATTCCGTAGAGGAATGTAAATTAACAAAGAAAAGAAATTGACGCACGTATTTATACCAGAGTAATGTCAAGTTCAACTTACGTCAGTCGGCGAGATGGCTCTCGTTAAACGGACCAAGTTCATAAAAAACATAGAGCTTTACAAATACCTATTTTGAATAATACTTTGCCTTATAATATAAATTTATTACAAGTTTGGTCCAAAAATGCTTCTGACTTTTGTCAAAAAGCAGGGAAATGAGTTAGGACGCCATTATTGCAAACCTAATTTGATAAATCTAATTTGGTCTTCATTCGATAACACCGAAGTATCCGCTGGTACGTTGTATTGTTCCATGGTGCAAGCAGGGTTGTGGGCAGAACCCTCGTTGTACTCTCATGTCAGCATCATATTTTACAGCGGGTCGCGTGTAGGAAGACATCATGGCAACAAAATAACCCTAGACGACTGAGGCAGTAAGATAATATTCTTAGCTAGTAACATGACTTAGATGAAATATAGTTAGCATCCTAGCAATGGTTGCACTGTATCACAGAATATCGAGACTCACTTGACTTGAGCAATACCCTGCTTGAGAGCAGGAATTGAATAAAATAATTGTAGCAAAATTCTATTTAACAAGTAGTTATTGTCATACAAGGAAACATGTATAAAGCATGTACACGGAAGAAGCCAATGTTAAGTCGGATCTTAATTCAAGACTCGACGGATGAAACATCCTACCAATGTAATTCACAATATACAATTGTGAGCATTTATATTGTACGCCTTACAGTACCTAATACTGTACACAAAACGCCCACTTAAATAAACAAAGTCATTTATATAGCAATACATCACTAGTTTTCCCGGAGGCATACAGGCAAGATAATAATTTTGATCTAAGTTTCGTCGTCACCGTCGAGCTTGTGTTTCAACGGAAAGGAAAGGAATGCGTCACTAACAATAGAAGTCGTAAGGAAATTCCGAGTAAAAATTGATTACATTGCATCTGTAAAGCAGATCATGGATGAATGCATCCAAACGAATGCATGTATATACAGAACCCGCAAAAAAACTTTTTAGAATGCAAAAATTTATTAGATAAGTTTCCCAAAACGATCACAGAATTGAGTTTAAAATTCATTTTATTCAAGAAGAAAAAAGCAAGAAGCTACAAATAGAATGAAACACTAGCAGGACCCAAAGCATCCGCTCAGCAAGAGGCTCGTAAACAGCACGGCAGCTCTCGTGAGACTTGGCATAATGAACGAACAAATGCTACACAAATGAAACATTAGAATGTTCACTACAAGGACAGGTATGGCAAGAATTATGAAGCTGACGAGCTAAGAAATTATTTTCATCGAGATACAAACACTAGGTGGTTCTTCAGTAGCAGAATGTATGAGCTTTATTAAGCTTGAAAACTGCGAAAATATTGATGCTAAGTTTCATGTCATTTTCAGATACCGACAGAGAGAATAATACTTTAAAATCGTAAAAAAACGAAATGCAAAACTCGTACTTGATGGCCAGCAACGGTAGCTGCACGACGAAGTTATTAGAATTTTTAAATTAAATTGCATGGATAATCAGTACAGCTTTTCCATCACCCTATAATGTGAACACAAACTCGAGCGAGGCGGCGGATAAAAGCTTCCTTATAACGGGATATTGCCGCCAGTAGGATGCTGTAACGCCCTGATGATGGCTGCGAGGCTGTAGTAGGAGCCCGTCACGAAACACACCACGCCAAACACCATGATCAGCATATTCTTGGTCAGGCTCAAGCAACTTATCCTGAAAACACGGCAGAAAAATAAACATTGAGTTAAGGGCTTGCATGAAAATAAACATGAAAGTCAAGTTAATACAGAAAAAATAAATAAATTTTTTTTATCAATATTGGGTATAAATAGAAGGCATAGATATTCTTTTTAGTATTTAAAATTTAAAAAAAAAGAATCACTTTATCGCAAGCGAAATAAAAACAGAAGATAATATTCTAATTTATTGACAATTTTGAATGAACGAGCCGTCAAGATGTGCAGGTGTATAAAAGTAAGAAAAAGCTAGAAATAAATTCCAACATAAAATTGACAGAATTCTGAAATCTCACAATTTTGGTCCCAACTCACGTGTCATAGAAAGTAAGGGAATGTAGCAGCGGAGGGAAGATGAGGGCAAGCGTTGATGACGCCATGGCCCCCACGAGGGAAATGAAGAGCCCGATGTGTGGAACAATGGACGCAAATATCAGCGTAACCAGCACCAGCAGCGCCCTGAAGACGTAAATCGCGTTCTTGCGGCGTGTGTAGCGCGAAAATTTTGCCACCAGATGCGGCCAAGTGAGCTCGACGGGCACGTATAGCATGAGTGCGTACGTCAAGAAAATGGCAACGACAAATATCACGGAAATGCTCATGGCCAGAGGCTCCTCTCTTGGCAGGTTGAGAGTGATGGATCCTTGCACTAGATCTCCGTACTTGAGGTAGCCATAGAACCCCATTCCAATATATAGACAAGTCACAAGAACCATGGCAGTGTTCAATACGCCATTGATGCCTCCTAGATCTTCTGGATTTTGCATATTTCGCTGCAGTGGAAGTACAACACCAATCCCTTCAAAGGCATAGATACTAGTGGACAAAAACAGTGGCAAGTCTTCCCAAGAAGAAAACTGCTTTCTGTCTTCTGCATTAGGAAGATCATGCAGTAAATAAGTCAAAATTAACACCAAGCCAACCAATATCAAAACGTTGCTGGCAAGAGAAGGGTAGTAAAGTTTCGTGAGAGTTTTGACCATTGATAGCGCAAGTATTGGTAAACTGACGATTGCAATGTAAGCATGCAAGTCCCACACAGCCCCCGGAGATAAAACATCCACAACTTGCTTAATGTTGGTCGCTATAAAGACGATGTACACACAGCAGAATCCAAGCTGGGTAATTACGAGGAAGCTGTTGAGGGAAGTATGCGCAAATTTTGACAGAAACCGAAGACGTCGAGGACCGTAAGCAAATGCAGCTTCCCCAACCATGGCAAAAGTGAGACTAGAGCATTGTAGTCTGGCTTGCAGCTCATTAGTAGTCCAGATTAGCAAATGCATACAATGAACACATATAAGAGCAATAATAGGCAATAGGCAACATCCTGTAAGAAGACCAGAGTTCTTAAGGGCATCTGGCATAGCAAGTATACCTGTTCCAAGATTGCCTTTGATGAGATGGATGAGAGTTTGGTTACTACTCGACTTCGAAGGTGAGGTTATATGATGACCAGACACCTCAAAGCCTCGTCTGTCATGAGAAAGCAGTCTTTCAGTTTCTTGGAATATATCATCTTCATCTGTTTCAGAAGGGAGGAGATCTCCTTGCTCGGCGGTAGTAGGTGCAGTACCATATGCAAAATTTGGATGTCGGCCACGTCGCCTGCCACTTTTCTCAGCTCTGATTGGCAAAGCTCCTCCTTCCTCGAGATCAGGATTGATCTCTCTCTCATTTTCAGCGCTATCTGCACCTGAGGTTAGATTAGAATACCCTCCTCCATCATGGTAGGAACTACCAGTGAGTATCTCTTCTTTTTTGTGTGAAGTTTGTTCATGATTACTTGCCACATTTATAGCCTCATTTGAAGATTCCATCATAACACTGGAAACTTTCTATTCCAAGAATCAATCAAAATCAAACTTTTTAAAGAATTAATAGGGTACATGGACTCAAAATTCAACTTTGATATAATAGGTAGCTCTTTTCTGAAAAAAATGAACATTAGGTCAGAGTGGATTACAAATAAATAGCACTGAGCAATAGAGAAAATAGTCATATACTGGTATATGCGGAACAATGTTGAACTGAATTCAAGAATGCTTTATCATTTCTACTACATATCAGGAGAAAGATAGTTACAGATAATGAGAATATCAATGTCAGCAAGAAGTTCATCACTCCTGCACGTTAAATACATTACTTTTCTGGTTTGTCCATCTTTGAGTGAGAGTAGCAGCACTGGGTGTGAATGGGGTGAGAAGGAAACTTTGGTGCACTTGATGGTAGAATGTGGGGCATTTGAGAGAAAACAATGAGCAATAATTTTGAGGTGATCATGAATAAGGGGGGAATGAGAGTAATGGCAAAAGGGATGAGAGAACAAGTGAGGTGTGAATTGTGATAATTGTAGGTTTTTATGAGGGGTGGAACTGTGGCTATGATTGAGAGTGTACAGAGGTATTTGGAGAATGTGTGGAGGCTAAATGAGGAAGGAGAAGGATAAGAGTATAGTCCTGATGAGCAGTGGAGTGAGGAGCAGAGTGGAGTGATGAGCAGAGGGAGAGGTGGGGGCAGAAGGCCAAATATCCTGGTGTTTGTAATGTAGTTTCTGCTTTTTAGGATGTATAACTACGCTTAATAAGATAATATATTTTTAGTTTCTTAGGAAATTGTCAAGTGCAAATAATGAACTTGACTCAACACTCACCACTAAAAATTGCCCAATATTGGTCAGAACTAAGATTTGTAGGGTTTGATTATCAAAAAATAGATATAAAGCTGTTTCTATTGTGTTAAAAAGCTGTGGTTTAGATTAGCTTGTAAAATAGATAATTTTCAATGGTGGTATGTTCAAATCCATGGGTGGAGCAGAACAAAGCACCAAAATGGTGGACCAGCAGATTGTGTTTTAGATGCACAGCAGGTCTTTCCTATGCATCTCTATGGTTTACTGGCAGCATAAATTAGTCAACTAATATTTGGAAATGAAAAAAGGAATTTCAATTATAATCACTCCATCTGGTTTACTGAATGGTTTCTCTTGTTTACTTGCTTGGCTGTGTTGGGCAGAATTTTCCAAAAGTTGGGGGTAAAAATGATTTTTTGGGCAAATAGCCAAAAATGTGCCATATTTTAATTTTATAGAGAAATTGGATATATATATATTCTGGAATATATGGGCAAATGCCATAGAAATGAATGAAAGTGTCCACAACACATGGGCATTTTTTGTCTCCTTGACAGGTGGCTTATGCCTAATAGTCCATCTTTGCCACAAAGTGCACAAGAAACAGTTTTTTATCATACTTCTTCAATGAGGAAACATGAAATATCAATAGTTTCCTGTACAGGCACAGTTTCGTGGAGAGCCACTCCAAATTTGAAATTTCAGCCCCGGATTAAAAGGAGTGGCTGACTATGGAATGAGGGATACATAAAAGATAATTTTGCAGCTCCGTTTCATGCTAGATCACTAGTAAGCTACACAGAACTTTGGAAAATTCTTACTCATTACTAGAACATTGTGGTTTTCAAACTGCAAATTTTCAATAAATTTGGAATATTGCTGTACCAATTGTGCTTCCAAGTTCCAATGATTGCTGCCAATTGAAAGTATTTCATGTCTGTCCTGCCACTATGATGGACAAAAAATATAATTTCTGGATTAACTCCAACTGAGCCAAAAATTTTAGAAATTCTTTTAGTATTTTAATGATACTCCAAACTGGAAAATAGGGCAGAAGCCCCCAGCAAATGAGATAAAAATGCTGGTGATTGTGAACAGTTTCACACATTCCTATGGCTCTTCTCCTATTTTTTCTCAGTGAATACAGAATAATAAGGAAAATGTTATATTACTTGAAAATCACCTGTGAATCAATTGTTTTACCTTGCAATTTTTGGAAAGTTATAGTGGCAAAGGAAAACATTTTTAGTTGCCCTTCCTCAAGTTAATTTTTAACAACACATCACTTGTTTGTTTGTTTGTCTGCTACAAATCTTATAATCAATATTTGACACACTTCTACCTGTCCAATTGATCAGAAATTTTGCACATTTGCATAATGTTGGAGACAATGCTGGAATCAATTGACAGAATAAATAAATTTAAAAATTTTTTAGAAATTAATAAAAATTAAAAAACAATTTTAGTCAAATATTTAAAAACAAAATAGGAAATTCATTAAAGATGTGTAACATTGGAAACACTGACCTCTTTAGGAGCATTTTCTTTAAAAATTAATATTTAAACGCATAATTTTGCTTTTCTTGTAAGAGGGCTTGATGCCCATTAATATTATTTAATTTGTAAGATGAGGACCAACACATATTCTTCTCAATTTTGACTTCAATACCGTCAAATAGGGTTATAACGGAAGGTTTTGAGGGTTTTTCATTAATAACTTCTAACCATGAAACATTTCATTTACAAGTTTAGGCTTATTTTAAAGCTCTTTGCAAGGGCTACAGTATTGTATGGCATCTCCAAAAAAAATTCCATATGCTATTTGTAAGGTGCCAGATGCAAAATAAAAGCCTCCCAAATTACCACTGCCAAGGCCCTGGGACTGAGGTAATAAGGGAAAATTGAATAAAACTTAATTTTAAAAAATTTGAAGCAGACAGAGTGTAGGGTAAACACACCATATTCCGACACCTTAAGGTCATAGCAAGAAATAAATGGCTATAAATAGATCACCGTATGAGCAACTTGAGTTCTGATTGGTTTACGTCACTCTCAAAACACCACACTATGCGCCAGCAATGATGAAACATCACAAACTGTTGCCATATTCATTTAAAAGCCTTTAGAATTCAAATCTACAAAATCGCTGAATTCCGACACTGTGTGTGACTAAATGTGGCATATTGTGAGACTAATTCCAACAGTGCTTCAAAATCATAATTTGTAATTCTGACACCCTGTGTGACAGTGTGTGTCGTAATTCCAACACCCTGTGCCGGAATTAGTTTTTATGTGTCTAAACCGTCTCTTTATTTACCGTCTTCAAGTGGTAAATTAAGTCTAAAACCATCTATCCATTAATTCATTTACCACTAAAAATCAGCAAATACAATGTTATGGGCTGTCACTCTTACTGCTGGAGAGTGGTGGTTACCTTGCTCCCACTTGGGGAAGTAACGCTCCCCCAGTTCCGAGTTAATGTAGTTGTTTTTAGAATCTTGAAATTCATGGTAAACATCAATATTTATGTTGTCAGTGCTCTCCATCTCATTCTCTTTGCCCTTTTTGCAGACCATTATTTTATGTGTCAGTGGTGATTGATTAAAATTCCAAATCTCCTCTCCGCCATCATATCATACTCACACTACTGCCTGTGGTTGGTGAGTAGTAGTTGCCAAGATATAGGTACCTTTTTAAATCACTGCTCATATATTCAGTGGTAAAGATTTTAATGTCGTGTTTTTGAGAATACCGTTATAGATTAGAAATATATTTATCTGTTATCCTGCTTGATAGTTTATTGTGCATATATGTTTTGAAGTTTGTATTGATGTTGTGTTTAATAATAGTGTGTTAGGTGTTGATAATGTAAATATTTTACAGAAGCATCTTCAAGTACTTCAAATAAGTGACCCATGCCCCGTTTGTATGGTTGTACAGTTGCCAGTTTTCCGTTTGCCCGGTTGTCCGGTAGTCCATTTTTCCGGTTGTACAGTTGCCTGGTTGCTAGTTGTCCGGTAGCCCATTTGCCTAGTTAAACAGTTATCTGGTTACCCAGTTCCCCAGTTAATGGCTAAACAGTCATCCAGTAGTTGGTTAGGTTTTTGATTTAGAGTTCTCTCTTAGGTTTAAATTTTAAGTCCCTTTATAATGAAGTTTGTATTAGAATTAAATAAAGTCGAACAAAAAAGAGAAAAACACCTGGTGGACAGGGATGGCTATAAGGGGAGTTGGGAGGCCATCTTTTATTTAACCCTTTCGAGTCTTAAAGAACCTTGAATACCTTCCCTCGCTTAACTAATAAAAACAACCCATTACAACAAGTATACTTAAAGGATTCATAATATATTCACAGACTTATTTAAAAGTCTCAAACCATAATATTCTTTCTACACAAACAGTTTATCACTATTTAGTAAACATAAAGCAAGGTCAGCTATCAACTTTCATGCATGTTTCGATGTTCTCACTAAGCTGACTTGGACTTACGCTCTGCAGATCTTACCATTTTCCGCTAGACCTAGTGTTTTGTGGAAATCTTTCGCGCAATAGTATGACATCACTATTTCAACCATCTACGCATGAGTGGAACTAAGACCAAGCTTAATATAAAGAAAAAAGTTGAGGGGTGTCTGAATTACCCACAGTGTCAGAATATGGTGTATTTACCCTACTCATCAACAGTACTCTGCTGTCCTCCTCTTCCTTTGTAAGTGATGTAGATGTAAAATAAATGACATTTTCTGTGATTTTTACTTATTTTTTCTTTATTGATATGATCTTACCTTATCCATTCATTTCTGTATTATTGATATGATATTACCATATACATGGAGTCATGGACTGTGATGGGCATGCCACTGAGCATTGACAAAGATGGTAAGACCTTGTCCACACTCCACTGCAAGCCTCATATCAGTAGCCATATTACAATATATATAGCAATTCTTCTATATCTATAAGCTTACAGGATGGCTTTTAATTTTGTACAATTTTAATCAAGTCAAGTGATTTCACTATAACAAAAAAAAGATTGTAAATAACAGACCTGAAATAGAAAGGAATATGTTAGTGACAGCCATCACTTTTTGAATGAGCTATGCAAATTCTGTCAATAACCAACACCTGTGTCAGACTGTCAGTGTGTAACTTCTAATTAAACAAATTTTTTTAATATGGCAAACATTTTTTCTGTCAGATCTGGAGAATTATCTGATCTACTAATCAATATTCAATAGTAGTAAAACCTGAGGGGTATTGGTTTGTTTGATTAATGTCCAAATAACATATTAAATATTCAT